ATAGATAGATAGATAGATAGATAGATAGATAGATAGATAGATAGATAGATAGATAGATATGTAAGTGTGTGTGTGTGTGGGTGTGTACATATGTAAACCAAACACCTCCATCATTTGAGAAAATTATTCTCTCAAATTTTTGTATTGGTTAAAACTATAGTTTCCTCAAATTATTGGGGTGGCCAAACATTAATCCATGGTGACCATGGCCACCATTGGTCAACCCCTGGCTCCACCATTGTGCCTGGTGGTGGAAAAAGTTGCTCCCTCCAGTTGCCAGTATCCATCACTATGCACCACCTCAGACAAACAAACAAACAAACAAAAACTCCCTCTCTTCTTCTCCACAATCGAACTTTAATATCTTGCACCAAAAATATTTAGGTTTACTTCATTCTCTGTTTAACTCCAGTCTAGAAAAACAATCATTTATAAAACTACAAACATTCACTCTTCAAATTAGTTTTAGGCTACATCATCCTGACAAACGATGGAGTTAAATCCATTTTGATCCAACTTTAAGAATCTCATAAGATATAACACTCAGAGTCTGTGTTATAAATAACTCACACCGCATCAAACTTTAGTTCAGTACTTGTTAAATTAATTGAATTATAGCCTTTTTTGTGTGCTTTTTATACTGATTGAGTCCAAAATATAATCAGGTGCAGATAACTCTCTGAAAGTCTAAAATCTTTTCCCTGGCTCATGAGATATTTTGCTAACAGATGAAATTCAATTTAATTCAGTTTATTTATATAGCGCCAAATCACAACAAAGTTGTCTCAGGGCACTTTATAGGAACATTCACAGACATAAAAGCCAATTAACAAATTTCTCTATCTAAGGATCTATCTATGAAAGCATGCACACACAATGAAGTGATGGTCTGCCTTCACCTTTTGACAGCAGGTGATAATTTGGTTCCTGGGACAGGTCCATTGGATTGAAAATACACATTTCCTTTTATTTGGCTTTTGGAGCAATTTTGGAGTATTTGTAGTTTTTATTTTATGTACCTAAATGACGACTTTGATCATGTAAAAACACTTAATTTGATGCAACACCACCAAAAATAAAAACTGAGCGTGGATTCCTCAAATTCAATACTTTGTGTCACCTGTTGCAGGAGGTCCAGCATCAGGCCTCTTCAGGTCCGTCTCCATGATCTTGGCCCATCTAACCTGGACTTTCTGTCTCCTTGTCCAAACGGCTGCAGCTCCTTCAGGTTGGACGGTGCTGCTTGTGTCCAACAAAGCAGAGATTCTCACTTGGACTGAGGTCTAGATCCAGGACCTTTACCTGGTTCTCCTTAAACCAGAGGAGTGGTCTTCAGCAGTGTTTAGAGTCATTGTCCTGCTGGAAGGTGGACCTCTGTCCTGGTCTCAGATGTCTGGAAGACTCCAGCACGTCAGTCCATCTTTCGTTCAGCTCTGACCAGTTTCCCAGTCAGAGCCATCTATAACATATTGTTGTATTTCTTATTGAGCTTAAACACAGATGCAATACAGGAAAAATATAATCAGTGATTTGTGACTTCACTGAACTCAGTGGAACTTGATCTTCTTTGGCCCCTCCTACATATATATGATTGACAGTTGTCTATCACAGCCTGACCCCTCCTTCTCAACAAGCCATCATAATAAAAGCTCATCCCCTCTGTGGGAGTTTTAGTTCATCCACCTGATCCCTCACTTCCACACACATCAGCATGGACTGCGATTCTTACGGTAAAAGTCTTCCATTTCTTATTTATCCTTAATAAAATGAAAAGATCATTTTATTTTTAATCAACTCAGTTAACAGAAAAAAGTTTGTTTGTGCTATAGAAATATACATTTTAGATTATGATGATTTTTCAGAACTAAACAGCATGAAAATATGTGTTTAAAGGGAGTTGAGTTATAGCAAAACAAAAACAAAACAAACTTTTTTTATTATTGTTTTTTTCTATATTGTGATTTTCCATCCATCTATACATTATCTTTACCTGCTTCTTCCACTTTTTGGGGTCGTGGGGTTCACTGGTGACCATGTCCAGTTGTCACTGTACGAGAGGCAGGGGACACCTGGACAGGTCTCCAGTCCATCACAGGGACATTGTGATGCTCCCATCTAAAAATACTTATTAAAAACTAAATAATTAAGTAACATAAATATTGTAATAATCTTAGTGTTTGTAGCTTTTTCACGGGCAAATGAAGAAATGTAAATAAAAAATTAGACAAGTGTGGCTGGAATAAAATGTGCAATAATAATAATAATAATATTAATACATATATTTATTAAAAAACATTA